TGAGCCACAACTGACAACAACCTCTTAGAATAGTTCTTTACTAGGTTGGCACAGGTCTCTTGAGGGATTTTTGCCCATTCTTCCATTGCAAATTGTTCCAGCTGGTCCAAATTGCGTGGTTTCCGAGCGTGGACATTCACTTTGAGCACCCGCCGGATTGTCAATAGGATTAAGATCTGGGCTATGTGCGGGCCACTCCAGCACCTTGGTTTTGGTGTCCTTTTAGGAACCGTTGGACCAATTTTGATGTATGCTTTGGGTCATTGTCTTGTTGGAAGACCCAGCGACGACCTAAGCGAAGACCAAGAGCAGATTTTTTCATATTATTCCTCAAAATGTCCACATCATTTCTTTTTTCATGAGGCCTTGTACCCGAACAAGGCTCCCTGTGCCTGAGGCTGCAAAACAGCCCCACAGCATGATGTGTTCTTGGGGTTGAAGGCCTTTCCCTTTCTTCGCCAAACAAAAGCAACAGTTCCAGTTTAGTCTCATCAGACCAAAGCACAGACTTCCAAAACTCATCTTTACCTTTCAAATGCTCATGGGCAAACCTCAGTCTGGCTCTGATGTGCTGTTTCTTGGAGTCCTTTTGTGTTGATTGAATGCTGAGGTGTGGCTTGAAAGCTGATTGGTTGATTTGGTGTGTTTTTGAAAAGCAAAAATGTACATGGGGGCTAATATTTTTGACCAACCAATTTTTAACTATTTGATATAAAGCAAGTCTAAAAATGTATTTTATGTACCAAAAACTACTAAATAGTACTGGTGAATGTTTGATTATATCAAGTTTTATCAATGCTGGAAACATTGGGAAGAATTTTAGGAAAATGTTCCATAACTCCTGGGGGGCTAATAATTCTGGCCTCAACTGTATGTATCCCCTTATTAAAACTCAGTATAGAGACATTAGGAACCAACCATATCGTCTGTGACTGTTTCAGAAGGTGCTTCCTCCACAACTGGCCTCTCAATAACCGTGGGGACGTTCCCCGTTCTCCACTCATAAAACGTTGTGTTCCCTTTCTGCTGGGCGAATGTCAGCATGGGCAGGACTGGTTCAGACCTACAGATGACAAGATGTGAGGTTGTGACAAACAAAAAGCTGTTCCTGTTTTCTTTCATTATAAGCAACAAACAATATTTTATTTTTATTTTAGGAGCTGCAAATGTTTTATCTGCTGCTGCTAGGGATGTGTGTATGTGAATAAAAACAGTTATTCTGGAAAAAATGTAAGGTATGTAGGACTGTATTTTGTTGTATACTCACCACTCGCATACAAAGTTTGTGAACGCTGTATAAAGTTTGATGTGCTCCTCAAACTTCGCTGCATCCCTTCCAACCTGATCCAGAACCACTGGCAGGTCTTTGACCAGCGCCTGCAGCTCACGGGCCACATGTTCTCCCTGCCAGAGGAGAAACAGTCATCAGGATGAAGCATGTCTACACAGAGCGCAGTGAGTTCTAATGTTCTTCTACTTACCGTGATGCCGTACTGTTTGCAGGCGGTGTAGTAGCGCTCCCTCAGGTCTGCGGCCGAGCTCTGGCAGTCCACCTCCCGCCGGCTCAGCTCCTGCTGCAGCTGCTGAGCTTTGGCCAGCTGCTTCCTCAGAGCCGGCCCTTCATAGCTCACGTTGCGACTCAGCAAGCTGGCCACCTCCGCTGGGATCACATTGGTTAATTTAAACAACTTTTAATGGGATCAGGGGGTACGATAAGGTTATTCCTGGACTCAAATAATCCCAGCATCATCCCTTTGTAATAAAATACTTTATTAGATCCATAATAATCTCTCCGGGGCCTTTCAAATGTTCACCCAGTAGTGTGGGTTTAAAATAGAGAATCCATCAGGAGTAAGGGAACATTTCTTTTTTGTAAAAGTATATTTATTTTTAGAGTAAATCATTTACTGATGCAAGACCATGTGCATGCATGTGTTCATGCATAAAATAAATTAACACTAATTCATTTTCTACCTTACGCCTATAGCTTTTTTAGTTATAAAATAAATAAATAAAAACTTTATACATGCAATAAAAAAATTTATAGCCTTATGTAATTTGGACAATTTATCCTATAATAGTGTAGCATAATTTAATCGGCAACAACAAAGAACTTAAATTATTTCAATATTTTTTTGATTGCTAAAATAGCCTGCCTACGCCTACCTTATAGTATACAGAGGAGTCTAAAAGTGCATACAGATATTATACAATGAAAAATACATAAAGATAATACACTTACCCAAATAGATATTATCTGCCTCATAAAGGGACACAATCTCTTGCCAGTCCTGTCAAAACAAACAATTCAAATGTGAATGTTAGGATTCTTTAGTGGTTTTAGAGCAGAGGGACAGAACACAAAGACAGCCCCTCTTTGTAAGCGGTACTAATTGGAAACTCCAACAGACGGCTCGTTCGAATCTGCTCACCTTCATCCTCTGAGATGAATATCTGCCAAAGATGTTCTTGGAGGAGACCTCAGTTTCCTTCAGTAGCTCCACTATCCTCAAGCAGTGAAAGTAGTGAATGTCTGTGAATAAAAACAAACAAAAGAAACAAAGAGTGCACATTTAGAAGCCTTCATACAGAGTAGGAACAGGAAGGAGGACTGAACACAAGTTCCCTTTACTTCACAACAAAACATTTATCAAAACAGCCGACGACTAAAGCTGCAACATATACTTCATCTGTCGCATGACACAAAGTATTAAAAAAATATATTTTGATGTTGCAACTCTGAAAATGGATGCTCATCTCTGTAACTTCAATGTAAAATATGTTAATAGACAACAGGCACAATCTGGGGTTATAATGGACCTACAGGAGCCGGAGAGGAGCTGCTTGATCTCCTCGTTCTCTGGCATGTCCTGAATGGCAGCATTGATCTTCTCTCTGATTTCTTTCACTGCAGTCTGCCATTTCAGATTGCAGTGACGACGGTCCAGCAGCCAGTCTGTGGACACATGATTCAACATCAGTAATAACCGTGCATCTGGCATCATCTGATTCAGATTGCAGGCAACAGTTGGTGAAAGGTATGAAAAGAGTTTGGTTTACACATAAGCATTTAGGGAAATGTTTTTGTTGCTACACAGTTTGGCTTAAGAAGTATTGAATGCAGGAAGTCACTACTCGTGGAGTGTTTTCACATTATTAGTACTTTTACTCAATGTTCTGAACACGTCTTCCACCACTGCACATAAGTAAAGTAACATATGGATAAACAGCAACTCATTTTATTTTCGCGCCTTACCCAAAAGCTTGCTGGTCTGTATGTCAATTGGAAGGCTTTGAATATTCTGTTGAAGTCAGAAAGAAGAGAAAACATTAATAATACATTGTATTAGGTACTTTTTTTTGCTTTTGCTGTAGCCTACCTTAGTTCTGGAGAAATAAATCGCATTAGGGTGCAATATTCGATGTTAAATGCCCTACACAGAACCAAATGGCAAACTTTCTATATTGCATATCTTCGGGAAATATTTATGTTTTAGTTGCTGGACTTTGACTGGTTGACAGCTAGTAAGCTAACGTTAGCTAGTAAGATTTAATAAACAATCCAAATCAAGAAGACTTCATCTTACCTCCATGCTTTCTTTACGTCCTCAAAATCAAAGTACTTACAATATGTTACGGCTTCATTATATGTTTATTTATCAGGTTTTAATTCACAATTATTGTCACCATCCGGACTTCACTGTTTATGACACGTTACGAGGAAGGAGAACCAATAGAAGGAGGTGATGTTACATCTGCTATAAGGACTGGCCAATGATACGACACTGTGCTGATACCTGCAGCTGATTGGTGGACGGTTCAGATCCTTAGTTGCAAACGGTTGCAAATCTACAATTCGCTACTAGAGGGCGGTGTCGGCCTATAACTGAGATTATAATTTAAGGCAAAGCAAGATACTGTATTTTGCTGATAAAAATATAAACAAACGGACAAGCAAGCAGTCACCACGTTACGTATATCAGCCTAGTAAGCATGAAGTTACGTATATTATGGAATGTTTATTTTTACCATGATCTCTGTTTTGTCCTTGTGTCACACATTGTAAATTATGTTTTCTAAAATAAATACAAAATAGAACACTGATTATGTATGTTATTGATTGTGGATGTTAATGGATGGATGTGTGTATCTTGATTATTTGATGGATTTGTTTCAAATATCCTTCAAAATGCTTTCTCGATCAACATTGGACATTTCAGTGAAGAGTGAGCAAGGCCAAAACAAACAAAAACTTAAGACAGAGGAAATAGATATTTTTAATATGAATGTGTCCCATCCTCTCTGTTGGTCAACTGTACCATCATGACTTTTCCCTGAACCCAAAATGTTCAACAAGAATGGAGGTCATATCAAGTTTTAATAGGCTTTATTAAGTTTATAGTAGTTCACATTATTATACTATATCATAATCCGAAAAATATTTTAGTTAAACTCACACATTTTCTGTTAGGAAAAACCAAAGGAACAACATTACATTTTTGGTCATTTCAAGAAGGAAAATGCTATGCAGCGTGCCGTGTGACCTACTTTCAGATCATTTGAATGTGGACCAAACTTGCAAAGTAAGTGTGTATTCACTGAGATTCTATGCAATCCATGTAAAACATCAAGGCGCCCCCCTCACCTCATTCACATGAACTTCCAGAGTATGCAACTCTCCATTTACTTTAGTTATGTAATAGGGATAAGAGACTCAAATACAAACTCTATTCTGCGTCCAAATCTCACATTAACACAAGACTGGGTTTTAGAGCGAGACTGAGAAAGGGAATTTATCTGCAGTTTGGAAAGCTGCTCACCTCTCAAGTTCACATTACCCCTGATGTCAGTGATCATGATATGGACCGGGTTGGCCAGACGAAAGGCTTCTCTAAATCGCATGGTTGCAACATTTACTCACTCATGCACTTAGCTGGGGCAGGTTTTAGGTGTGTGTGTTTGAGGAGGGTGTGTGCTGGAGTGGGAAGTACAGAGGTGACACACACAGAGAGAGAGAGAGAGAGAGAGAGATAGATGCTGCACCTGTGCATGATTACCTGAGGGGAAGGAGAATAAAATAGAGAGGAGGTTTAGAGTTTGTAAGCATGGCGGGACAGTTTCACATCTGATCTTCTTTAGTCAACAACAAGGTAAGAACACACATTTTATAGCTTTTGTATGTCTCTAACATGCTGCAGAAACTGGTATAGTCTGAATAGTTTGAGATTTTTTTTTAGTATTGGCTTGCTTTTTTTCCAACTTTGAAATATATATTAATTATCTTTGTATATACGCATAGGGCGATAAAGACTCAAAGACTTATTTCCATCGTTGTTCCTGGTATTTTCACAGACCAACAATGCAACTGCAACAATTAGATGTATGATATGCAACAGTTTTGACAACCACTGAACTGTATTAAAGCAAACAATTCAAAATATTTGAAACCAGGTGGCCAAACAAAGTAGCTGACTATCCTCATCTTACAGTTATGAATTTAATGTTTGGGTTAGACTGTTTGTCAGACTACAACAAGACGTTTTATGATGTCATCTTAAGCTAATAGGAGACTGGAGCAGGCATTTTAGATACTGTTTACTTATGTATAATATGGAATCTTACAATATGGAGAAACATGTTCAATGTATGACATTTAAAATATTCTAAATAAATATAACATAAAAAAAGGCTTTGCTGTAAGTTATTTGAAAGGATGTCATTGCTATTTTGAGGCTTCGGCTGGTGACGATGTGAGAAGCCATCCTCAAAGGTCCCATGTGGTGCTTTTCTGGTTATTACCCGTCCCCTTTATGCATGTAAACGGTCTGCAGAGTCACAAACATTCAAAGTGCACCCTGTAGCGAGTAAAACTCTAACACAGAAAATACCTGTCTATGCTGCCCCAGAACGCGTCGTTGGAGATTTCTCTTTTTCCATTGTTTTCTTCTTGGTCATAGTGACGTAACGGTCATAGTGACGTAACGGCTCCGCAGATTGGTCCAAATGGACTTGTCAAAACTGAGTACTGCCGAAGTACTGTTCCAATGTCCAGCATACTTGGAATTCTACAGAGCCCGGCTTACTTCGTTGCGGGAAATTTTGAGGCTGCACATGTGTAGACTCCGCGGTCTTAAAAAATCCCCACAATGCTTTGCGCACGGACCAATTTCCAAATCTTTGGCGGAAATCGCGCTCCATTGCTAACAAACGCCATTGTAACACATAATCACTGATGTTCCGCTGTAACGGTGGTGGACTCACTCATCAGAACAGAGTGGGCGAGCTGGCCAATCAGAGCACACTGGGCTCATAGGGGGGGGCAGGAGCTCCAACAAGCCGTTTAAGACAGAGAGTGAATACACATACTATACAGAGATGCTGAATGAGAAACCAATGTGAGTTTGGAACATTGAACAATCTAAATCTATTCTACTAGATCTCAAAAATGGAATTCTGATCAGTAGAAATGGCCATGACATGGGACCTTTAATTCAAGATTGCTAGAAGTTAAGTAAGAAAGTTAACATTTAAAAAAATGTTGGTCCTTGCAGCCTTACATAATCTCACATTATATTTAGCATACATGATGTTTCAAAGAAAAAACAGCAATTATTTTTCCGTGCCTTCTATGTGCACACAAATAATGCAAATCCTAAAATAGAATTGTTATCAGGCAAAAAACAATATTCCCCTTATCAACTCATTCAACTTCTGCTTTTACGGTGTAGGTGTAGGTACCGTATCTGCACGGCCTACCAGATTGATACCAATCTTGGCCTCCAACGGGTAACCAGTAGCTGGCACAAGGGAGGACACCTGACATTCTAATAAACCTTAGGCTCAATTATGAGGGCAGCGCAGTCCTCGTGCCCTCGGAGCCTCCTCCTCTCTTTGTCTCCCTTTGTCATTGTCTCCCCCTTTTCTCTCTCTCCAGCTTAAACACTGTGCTTCTGAAAAGCTTTGCAGCTGGTTAGTAATTTCTGAACGTGGTCAGTGTTCCCTTCCTGCCGTGCTCTCTGAAGCTCAGCCACACATAACAGAATACATGGTAACTTATTAAAGAGAACTATGGCGGGCCTCCTTTATGTCAACAGGGCTTTTCGTCTCAAAGGTCACATCGAAGTCAAACATGGCAGAAAAGAAATATGTGTCCAAATGATACCGCTATGATCTGGTACTTAACAAGGTGTGAAACTGCTGCTTAAAGTCCTCCAAGGAACTTTGTTCAGTAGAAACTCCCAAATGAAAAGTCAACAACACTATGCAAATGCTCTTTCAACATTTGGTATGGAGAAACCTGTCTTTTTTGTAAAGTTAAATAGAAAAAAAACAACTTACAAAAGGGACATATTTATATGCTAAAACTAAGTGTAAATAAGCAACAAGTACAATTAGGTTGTGAACATAATAGCACATTAGCTCTAAAATAATCAAATGTTCCATTATAATGCATACATTACAATTTTGAAATTACCATTCAAATCCTATCGCAACATTAAACCCATTTGGCTTTCTTGAACCTTGGCACTGCTTGCAGGTGCCACAAACATCACATGGCTCTGATAAGAGTTGCAGGAGTGTTTCTGCAAAGGGCATGCTGGGTATTTGCATAGGCTACGTGATCAAATGACCACACCAAAGGAGGATTAGTGAGCCTCTTTGCTTCCTGTCCACCCTCGTAAAGTAGAAATCGTAGCGTTATAAAAACTCATAAAATCTGGTTTATAAGCCATGTGTTTATTCAGTTACTTTTTATGTTTTATTTGAAGTTCAAAGTTTGAAGTTAATCCCAGTTTGAAATGCATTAAAATAGAATTCAACAATTATGAGCAACACAAATTTAAAGACCTTGTTGGACTTAAAGGTTGCCTATTATGCTCTTTTGAGTTATTCTTTTTCTGTAGTGTGTTTATAAAGGTTTTTGTGCATGTAAATGTTCTGCAAAGGCTAAAATCCCAAAGTACCCTCAAGATAGCGTTGCTCTCCAACACACTGACTGAAACGCCTCCATTGGGCTCCTTTGTTAACTTGAACAAGACAGTAACATCACTACATTACACTTGAGCTTCTCTCAAGTGCAAGTGTAGCTGCTAGCGCTCCAAAGATAATGTACGTGATAGGCTAAGGGGCGAGACATCTCTAAAGTTGACCAATCATAACAGAGCCGGCCAGCCAACCAATCAGAGCAGACTGGGCTCTGGTTTCAGACAGAGGGTGAAAAGGGTTTGGAACTAGAGCATGTTAACATGTCACAGTGGAGACACAAAATACAAAAATATGAAACCAGAAAATTAGTTTTGGTCTTTTCTCTGCCTGTGTTAGAAAATGGACAAAGAAACGGTAAGGAAACATGGGAGTAGAGACAGAGATGAAATGTAGACAAAAAAGGTCGGCAGCGATGATAAAAAAAAAAAACTAAAGTGACTTAAGAAATGTCTGAACAACAAGCCAAAACTCCCAAATAAATTGCATCTGTTATAACATAAGATGAATACAAAGCAGTAACCTCTTACATGCTTGCTTGAAAAAAAACCTAAATGATTAAGTGAATGTCAAAAATAATAATCGTTGAAACTGAAAATACCAAACTTGAAAACAAATCTATCTGCCCAAACCAATCTATCTGCCCAAACTAAAGGTCACTGTCAGGACACGATAAGAAGGCCAGTTTTTATTAGATGTTATACAGCACATCATAAACACCAAAGAGTCCACATTCATTTGATGAGGAAGTTATTTTAGCTCACTGGTTGCCAGGAGACTGATAGCTGATCTGTGTAGCTACATACTTTTGAACTTGTTATAACAAGTAATATAAATAGAAAAATCCAGGTGTTAGTGTGATGCTGACAATAGAGCGATCTTCCTGTTGCTGTTTATAACATGGCTGAGTTTCAACAGCATTAAAAAACAGCTTGCCTTCTCATCAGTCTGTGATCTTGTTGTTTACACTGACTTCATATCAGATCTCAGAGAGATGGAAAGAGGATACTCTTCAGATGATCATTAATGTATCAGCTGAGAGCAGTCAGGTTTCCTCCCACCTCAGGTTACATCTACTAATGTTAAAAAGAAGCATACTGTCTAATCTCTGAAGACAGGGCTGATTGAAAAATGGTTTTGGATTAGCACCATAGCTTGCATTTTATAAATACTTCCCTCGAGCCAAATCCCAAACTGTAAGAAATGTTTGACCAACCACCAGAAAAAGTTGTTTGAAAAAAAGAATTTGCTGAGGTCAGCTTAGTTTGTTTTGGGATATTTTGCCCTTCATGGTATAGTGATGGTTCCAAGATGTGCACTTTTCTAAAATGGACAACGTTAAATACAATACAAAATCACCTAAAGGCCTTTTCTGAGTGGTAACTTGATACCTTTAATAAATAATATTGCTACAATATCTTTTTGATTGGAGGTTACATAGTAAGGTAGAGAAACCAGCTCAAACTGCTTCTTTCCTTGTGTTTCTTATAGTATGCTCACTAAACTGTTCAATGCAGGTGTAAATATAATCATCTCCAGTGGTGCTCAGTCTCAGCTCTGTGTCCTTCAGGTCAGTCCTCCCCCTCTCTACTGGTGTCATGGCGGATCAAAGCTGGTGGAAGCTGACCTTCTCCCGCAAGAAGAAGTCTGAATCCAAGGTCCTGTACGAGATCCCAGCAGAGTATGGAAGCAACACGGGGAACAAAGAGCACTCGAGCGGTACCCCCCCCACAGACCACATGGACAGCCAGTTCAATGCCAGGCTGGAGAAGATCGTGGACAAGTCTGCCACCAAGGGCCGCCACGTTAAGGTGTCCCACTCCGGACGCTTCAAGGAGAAGAAGAAGGTCCGTTCCACGCTGGCAGAGAACCCCAGCCTGTTCTCCGAGCACAGCCTCAGTGACGAGAACCACAAAAAGAAGACTGACAAATGAAAAGCACACCTGATTTCAAATGTGTGATACATGAGTGTTGCACTTATAAATGCTGTAATGAAGGATAAAACATACACAAGCACAACCATGTGGTGCTACTGTACTGTACATGTGCTAAACTGGATCAACACAAGGCCCCACACCCATAGATACTGTAACCAATGGACTCCCACCAATACAAACAGCTGGTATCAGCACACAGGAGACGTTTTTATTACGCCTCATATTCTCCCTTTCTGTTATTTATCTACAGTCTGCCTCACCTCATGCAAACATCCCTTTTAATTGCTTTATTGTACATTTATTTGTATTATTATTAAGGATTGCTGTAATTAAAACCTCCCTTTTTATGTCTTACAAAATCAAAAGAACATTTTTATTACGTTTTCATGACCAAAGTAAATAGGAGACCTGATTTTGATGTTGGATATATTGTGATAAATAATCATTTTAAATGAAAGCTGTTTATGTAATGTTTTTCTAAAATTCTAAAGCAAAAAAAGAGTTTTGTTTTTAATTAAATGACAATATGAGTTAATATAGAAAGAGTGTGTTGTATTTGTGCAGACAATCATTTGATTGAGTATTGTCAATGAATGATTTCAGCAACTTAATCTTGGTTTCGGGTTACAGTATTTTTATCCACCTGAGCGTGTTTGTGCTGGATGATTTTGTTGTCATGGTGACGGTAAGAAGACACTGACATTTGATACGCAGTGGTGTGCTCTTACATTTGATTATATGGCTTTTATTAAGTCAGTGATGACTAACGCTGGTCATTCAAGAAAAAAATCCCCTGATCAGCTGGTTTTGCTTAAAGGCCAACTTGCAGGTTGATTTTTGGTATACTTCATTTATATTGAACCTTTCCAGAAAAAGAACATTTGAAAGGTTGCCTCAGGATTGTATGTTTGACTGTGAGACTATAAATGATTTGTTTTGTTGTGTGTTGGTGCTGCCATCTGCTGGCCACGCATGCAATCAGTCCTCAGTTACAAATTAAACTTTAATCTGGCTTTTCAGTGAATTCAAGTCAAAATAACATTCTCATCTTCCATCAGTAAACAATAATCACCAGTATAAATCTCGTAATAGTGCAACATGTACATGATACACACAATAGTCGGCAAAATTTAAGTCGTCAGCTAGAAAGACACATATAGATGCTTGTTATTCTATAAAGTGTAAATAATACTAATTATAATGAAGATTTGAGACGGTTGCTTGGTTTGACTAGAGAAGCTTCAGTACATACAGTACTCAGAATTGTAGCAACAATCAAACACAACATTTTACAACATTTTAGAAAGAAAAAAGAAAAACAATGAATACCATCAGAGGCCCCCTTATTAGGAACACTTGTACGATGTGTTACAATTCCATGTTGCAGCTCTGCCATACATTTTCTATCTCAGATGAGCTGAAATGCTTTTAATTGGAAACGTGTACATTTTCCGTTACATGTCTGTTATTGTACTGTTTATAGGAGAAATAGGTGGTGCCTCTATTACTTTTTTACTTAATAAACATCATAAAAGTAGACTTTTTGACTTTATGGTTTTGGATAGCATTACATGATCAAGTGTAAGTGATAAAGTGGCCACTGAGTGTATTTATTTGTTAGATTGACAGATCATTCTTCTGGAACTTATTAGGAACAGACCTCTAAAAACCAAAGCATTACAGATTATTCCAACATTGAGGGTTGCATTTATGGTACAGGTTGTGCTTTTTAAGATGCAGGACACAGTATCCACAACGTTAGGACAACAAGGCTGAATAGACAATGTCCCTGTCAATCATTATTTAGCACGACCAGGTTGACTTTGCTCTTTTTCTGTAAACCATACAGCATGTTTTCATGACATAAAGACAATTCAAGTTGTACCACAAGAGCGTCACGCCTCCAAATATATGAACTGACAGAAAGAACGAGGAGATGACACAACACAGTTTGCTTGTAGATTAATCCTTCACACAGTAGCACCTATGAAATCAACATTGAAGTACCTAGAGACGAGCGCTTATTTCCATAGAGTTCAACACATTTGATAATGAGCGATAAATTGAGGTAGTTCTCACGGGGACTGACGCTGGTACACCCAGCCCCCCTCGGCAGCGTGCTGAAACTCCCCCAGCTCCGTCTCTCCCTCTTTGGGCCGGGTGAACACGATGCGGTCGTGCAGCCGGTTGGTCTGACCCTGCCAGAACTCTATCAGGGATGGCTTGACGATGTAGCCGCCCCTGTTCACAAAGGACAGTTTGAATATTTCAACCAGGAAATGATGAGATAACATTGTTTTGATGTGACTGAGCGATAGTCCTATGGGTTACCAAAAGGTAAATGGTCAAATGAAGTGTACTGGACAAGAGAACTGGCCCACTCGGCAATAATAAAGTACTATGGCATTAACTATGACTAATGGATTCTTGCAAGTAAAATGTAACAAAGTTCCTTCACCTTTTCATGATTTGAAGATGTTATAATAGAAAGAACAAGTGGTCTGATGCTCACCAGTAATCAGGCATAGGCACATCTGTGTCTTTGTACTTCTCCTCCAGCTCTGCATTCTTCTGCCTTAAATACTAAAAAGACAAGACAGTAAAAAGTGAGCCTTTAAAGTATTTACGTACATATGAAGGTATTGTTTGGGGTCTTACATCTCTGTTAGGGACCGGAGTGCTCTGTCGGCTCACAACGGCCCCGATCTGGCTGCTCTTTGGCCGGGAGTGGAAGTAGTCACAGGAGCTCTGGAAGGGGATTCTCTCCACATTGCCCTCAATGCGAATCTGCATATCATAATTCAAATGTATTACTGTGGAAAATCTATAAAAAATATGAAATATAAGGCAGGAAATTATGAGCACTTGATGGATGCTGACCTGTCGGTTAAGGGGTTCCCAGTAGAAGACAAGACATGCATGGGGATTGCTTTCCTGAGGACAAAAACATAGAAGGCAATACATAACTATTATAATAATTGATAGTCAAGCTGCTGCAACAACTAACCAGTAAAGGAGCTGAATCACATACACATTGTCGTCTATTTCTTCTTAAATGAAAAACAATTGATTCCCAGAGAAAGGGAATCGAAATGAACATTGTAAGCTCTACAAACGTGTTTTAAAGTCAACTTTTCAGTGGGTTCCAAGATTGCAAAAGGTCACAAAGAGCCTAGACAGTTGCTGTCAGTCAGTGGAGTAACTCACCAGCTCAGAACCCTTCCTGCTCTCGTAGTTGGAGAAGAAACGGAAACCCTCGTTGCTGTAACCTTTCAGGAGGACCATACGAGCCGAGGGGCGTCCATCTCTGTACAGACAGGCAGGGAGAGGGTTGACATTAGACATTACAAAAATGAAAATAAATTTGATTTTGGGAGTTTGTGTTACCCACTTGGTGGCTGTGGCGATGCACATAGCATTTGCCTCTCCGACTTCAGGGCACTTGGTGGCTTGATCGAACCAGTTCCCAAACTGAGTGATCGGGTCCAGAGACACAAGCTGGCTCTCCTCAAAGCACTGGGAAAAAAATAATCAATCATACGTGAATGTTCTGAGAAACAGACAATGGTGGATATATTTACTCAACTAGTGTTAACTAGAGGATTTCCATTTTGTGCAACTTTATACCTCTACTCTACCACATTTTAGAGGGAAAAATGTTACATTGTACTCATCATATGTGTTTGACAGATTTAGTTGCTATTAACTTGGTCCTTTTGGGTTAATTACACTTTTTTAAAAGCCTCTTGGATCAACTGGAATATGCAAAAGTGAAATCAGGGCTATAGAAGTTGTCCTTTTTAGAGATGTGGTTCTAATAGGACAGCAATACAGCTACACACATGGGAATCTTAAAGAATATGATATATCCTGCAACATCTACAGCACTAAAATGCACCATGCACATGAATGCAGCAGTAATATTATTCCAATAACATAACTGAATAAGAATGTTGCTAGATAGATAGCCTACTTTTATTAAGTAAGGTTTTGTAAGCTTTTACTTGTATTAATATTTGTGTAGTCTGGCAGTAGCTCTTTAACTTTGATAAATGACTGAAAACAGACACTACTGACCTTACATGAACCTCACGCAGGCCCTTATGAATGAGCCAACCAGTGTCACTATCTTTGGAATACCTAGATTTGCTTATAGGTTGTAAAAGTCTCAGGTTTTTTTCAAGACAACCAGGTAGATATAAAAACAAACTTATAGCAGTGTTTTTCCACCCTCATTGACCTTAAATTATAACAACATTGCAGTTACACACTGTATGATGTTATATGACTGTGTATTTCCCTGACAGGTAACTCACGTCCTCATCTCCTTTATATTTCTTCCTCATGTTACTCAGGTCCATGTTTGTGTCGGCGCTCGATGATTTCCAGCAGAAATTCCGTGCACAGACACGTTGTTGATCCGCTGTCAGAGAGGCATGAGAACGAGGATTTCTAAGAAATAAACTGCTCTGCCTCAATAATAAATTCGTACTGAGTATGCGCCTCATGCTTGTCAAAGTGACGCTTACGTAACAGCACATCCTCCTTTACGTAAAGTAACCGACTACTGGTTATATGCATGTCCAAATATATATGTATTTTTTTTAAAATATATTTTCACACGTAAACGTTCGTTATAAATAAAATATAGAACGTTGTATGATTTAAATACAAAATCTGAAAAACTATTAAATGGTGCTGCATTCAAGTTATATCTGTAATTAAGAGAAAGCCAGTGGGAAAACATGTTATTCAATCTGTTTGTAAAAGTTTTTTTTTTTGGTTCAGATTTATCACAAAATCCAGTGAAATTGAGGATTATTTATGTTTGTTGCAGTAATATATAACAAATGTCCCAATAATGACAGTTACAAAATAATCTGTACACTGTTGTGATTCTCTATATTCCGATATTTATGAATGCAGCATTTGTGCCAACGTCACTTCCTGAATAACGTATCCTGTTAGAGATGGCGGCGACCTTGTGTCGAATATTACTACCGAAACAGGGTAATTTAACGTTTATTCTGCCTTTATAGCATTTTTCTTTGTGTCAGTTACGAGTTACTACTGTCTTGTCTATCTATAGTAAGCATTTTAAGCTACGTTTAAGTTAAACAGCGTAGCCTGAGGCACAGGCCTCAGGTTTTATTTCATGTTAGCAGAAGTTTAACAAACTGCATGTCTTTCAGGATGGCTTCCCTTCACACAGTGTGTTCGGCACGGCTCCAAATCTGTGACTCGACACAAGAGGCCGTTGCACTTTCTCAAACAGAAGCTGATGTCAGTTACACGGTACATTCCACCCCCACGACCCGCTCCTATTGGAGCTTATCCACGACAAACCATCAGAGACCAGGAGGTAACAGTCCCCCCTTTTCATCCTCTATCTGACAGATATGAGGTATTAAATGCATGCATTTTTAGAGCTGGAAACATTACACCTACATAGGGGTGCAATTAAGGGTCGGTACATGTCCTAGAAGTTAAGCTCTGGGATTATGGGAATTCTGCACCATTTCCAAATACAAATCTTACCTTTTTAAAGAGTGTGGGTAAAACAATGTTTGGAGTGTTTGTGTTGATGTGCCAATTATAGTTTAATACCATGTTCAAAGAGTCAAGTAATTTAAATAATCTTAAAAATGTATTTCTATTATTACATACTGTTTTTCACTTTGTCTGTATCCATTGTTTACTGATGTGACACACTTACCTGTGATTTCATTAGGATTAACATTCTGCAGCTTCTTAAATCTTAAAAAAGGAAACTCACTCTTGAACGATTTGTTTCAGGATGAGTTGGAAAATGAACAGCTGCTTGTGTTGAATTTCTTTTGTTGAATTGAATAAAGGGAATAGTCGAAAATAAGTGTGTATTTATTTATATTAAAATAAATTCACTTCTATTTTCCCAACTCTTCTATTATATTCCACCAGGATGACCCTTTCACGATACTCATTAAGAAGAAATTGAAGAGCGTGTTCCAGGAATCAAAGATGATCGCTGTGGTCCAGAACAGCGGCAGTACTGCTGACGAAATGATGCTTCTCAAGTACAAACTTCATAAACATGGCATCACAGTGAAATTCTTCCCCAACCAGGTAATGCTAAAATTGTTGTATCGTTGACTATTTTTCCATTTTTAAATGAAGTAAAGAACATTTATCATGTCAGAAAAAAAACCTCCCATAATGTTGAATTTTAAACAAAGTATTGATCCTAAATATACAGGGAACTTATGGTTTATGATGACCTTATTTAAGATGTTAAAAATATCCTAGTTTAGTCTAATCCTTAATCTTGCTTTTTTAAGGTAATGCGTTCGTTCCTGAAAGACAGCACTTACTCCAACATGGCTCCTCTCTTCATTGGTCACACGGTTCTGTTCATCAGTAAAGAGCCGAAGGTGAAGGAGATGCTGTCGTCTCTGAGGACCAGCCGACATATGCTACTCCTGGGTACGTTCATCTTCTGTGTCTGCAAAGATCACAAGCCAGGAATTACACATTCATTTAATCAAACGATGGGCCCAGAATCCACACAACACAAAGGCTAACAATGTAATAACAAAATAATGATACACAAAAAGGAACTTAATTTAACACCCTATAGGAGTATGTTAGCAAAACGAAAGCAACCAGAAACGGTGCTTTTTAACACTTTATTCAGTGTTTTTAACCGTTTAACGGCTTAAAATGTAAAACAACTCGGTTCACAGCCCGTACGGGAGTTTTCCCATGAACGTGGCTGAGGGAACACTTTTTTTATTAGGTGCTTTCACACCGGAGTACTTTTCCCCATACTTTTCCCTTTTAGTTCCGATAGTTCCTGGGATTTTGCATTCACACCAAAAAGAGTACTTAGTTCAGAGAACTTTTCCCCCCTTTTCAGTCCCTGATAGAGAGGTGGTACTTTCCTGGGGACAAAAAAGTTCAAATTTCTGATTGGCTGGGCGAATTGCAAACCACACCCCGTAAAACTCTGAAAAGTTTTGTGAAGCCGCCATTTTATTTGCTGGCATTAGCATTAGCATTACCCCGCGCACCAACGGAGAGAGACTCATTTATGGCAACACTCTCTCATCCTCTCTGGACTCTCTCCTGCTCCCTGGCTAAATGACGCACTGCATGCTAATAGAACCATCCTTAGGGCAGCAGAGCGGAAACGGTGGAAATCCAAACACCATGACAACCTCCTAACCTATCAGGCTCTCCTCTCCTCTTTCTCCGCTTCGATCCCTCAGGCAAAAAGCACTTTCTTCCAAGATCCAATCTTCCTATTCCAATCCCAAAGAACTATTTTCAATCTTTTCCACCCTCTTGGACCCCCCCAAAGCCCCTTGCCCCTCCTCCCTTCTGTCAAGCGACTTTGTTAACTACTTTGAAAAAAAGGTTGATGATATTCGCTCTTCTTTTTCTGACTCACCTTTACTCACCGCTGGGTCACCAGACCCTCCTTTCACCCACACACTAACCTCCTTCTCCCCTCTCTCTCCAAGTGAGGTTCTTACCCTCATTACTTCTCAGCAGGGTAAATCTTGCAGGTATGCAACAAACATGGACGTTCGTCAGTCCACACAGTGACTAAGCTGGACACTGATTTTGCCCGACACAGTCAACGGAAGTCCAGCGAAATAAAGTTTTTGCGCAAAGATTACTTGTATTTCGATCAACGCATATCTGCATGTGAATGCAGCAAACAAATAAACGTATCCTCCGTCAGGAATGGGCGCGGAAGCAGCAGTGGCGAAGTCGCACGTCGGATTTTGTGTTTTCAGGATTTCATGACATTTTACACAGCGTCTGCAGCGTCATGACATCGCTGCCCTTATTAAGGTGTCTTTTACTTTTTTTTATAGTTCTTTAACTTCCCTGCCCACCGGACTTTTTTTCTTCATTCTTGGCAAGTAGACAGACACGGAAAATTGAGCTGAAATTGGCTATCAAAACGCAAAACCGGCGACCGTTTGTTTTAATGTAAAGGTCCTTCTTTGGTTGTTTCTCGGTTATCACCGTCTTTCTGTAGTATTCAGACAACACAAACCCGCGTGCCGCTCAAAGCGCTCTTTCAGACTATCGCTCCTGATATTTTTACCGTTTCTCACAACGTTGTGATACAAATCAGAGACACCTTTAGAGTAAGCAAACATAGGTGGAGAGGCACCACTCTCTACGCTGGGAGAAATCCGGGCTTTTCTCACTTGCCGGCGATCGCCTATAGGAGTATGGCGCAAAATGTGAGATTATCAGAGAGGGACCTAATCCTCGCGTGAAGAGAGACACGGCGAGCGCGGCTCATATCGCCCCTCGTGTGTCCTACTGAATACGCGTTAACGTCTATCCGGCCAGCTATGCTCCCTGTCCGCCCTCTCTGCACCCCAAACCTGTCCTTTCCCTTCAATAACAATATGCGACTCCCGAGGGGTTAAGAGACGGTGAAGAAGTTCCTGGAGTAGAGAAGTTAATAACAACTTCGTTCTCTGATAAGACGGTTGAAGCCGTTTCAACGAAGCCAGATGAGACACAAATGAACGCTCAGAGGCTATATATTACTAAAGATTTCGTTGTATTCTCTTAATTAAAGAATACAAACACAGGCCGTGCTGCGGGCACACCAAGACCTCACATGGAGGGGAGCACGCAGTGATTCCAGTAGTCTAAGGCGCAGGCCCCGCTGCTTCAGATAGAACAGCACGGTGCCCTTTGCGGGGCGTTTTTCCAGCCTTGTGTCTTCATATGCGCTAGTACGAAAAAGACTTGCGAGAGAAACACGGTCTAATAGCCCACCTCCCCCACAGGAATACAATAAAATTCCGGCGGTCAACATGCGCACCTGCCACATCCCTCGTAGGAGCAGAGCGATGGTGTTCCCAACACGCGTCTTATTCCCTTCAAAGAACCACGGTGGAACATCAGATCTCCTCACACCCACTCTCAAGAAAACTGACTCAATGAAGTGGAAGTTATGTCGGCGCTCTCGCCACTCTTCCCCTCGCTCACGTCCAAACCTCAAAGACCGCACCAACAGGGTAACCTATCTGGACGAGGGTGCCGGTCCGATCCTTGGTCAATTAACTACAGGGGCTCCCTCAGGGCCCCTTCTTGTTCTGTCCCGCTCCTCTTTCACAACACACAGGCTTCTTGTCATCGAAATTCATTAATATTGAAGATCTTCCCCTGCTGTATGAAGAAATAAAGGACGCGAAAACAATGAAGTGGATCAATTCAACAAAGGGATTAAACTGTTTATCCAAAACACATGTTCAAAGTAAACCAGATTTTGCCGTGTGTTTATGGTGGATTCAAAAGTCGTAAATATCTACAAAATGGAGCGAGACCCGGCGATCTGATCGAGCAAACTGTGGAGCAATATATGACCATATTAGGCCCAACTGAAACCGGTGTCGCGCTACTACCGATGTGTGTTTTTCTTAACAGCGCAAAGGTCAGTTCAACGATCGCGCTGTTGCCTCGCACGCGCGAGGCCGGTCCGTCTACTATCTAAACCTAGTGACGGTCACCGCTATGTGTAACGCATTGTT